GACCTCATCTCTACAATAAATCAAAAAAAAATTAGCCGGGCGTGGTAGCACACGCCTGTAGTTCCAGCTACTTGGAAGGTGGAGGCGGAAGAATCACTGGAGCCCAGCAGGTAGAGCCTGCGGAGAGCAGCCACTGCACTCCAGTCTGGGGGACAGAGTGAGACTCCGACTCAAAAAAAAAAAAAAAAAAAGGAAAATGGTTTGGCAGATCATCAAAAAATTAAATATGAAATTACCATGTAACCTAGCAATTCCACACCTAGGTTTGTACCCAAGCAAATGAAAATATATGTCTATCCAAAAACGTGTACAACAGCGTTCACAGCAATGTAATACATAATAACCAAATCAGAAACAACCTAAATGTCCAACATCCGATGAATCAATAAACAAAACGTGGTCCATCCACATGATGAAATATTATTCAGCCATAAAAAGAAATGAAGTACTAATTCATGCTACAGTATGGATGAACCTCGAAAACATTATGCTAGGTGATAGAAGCCAGATACAAAAGGCCACATACTGTGATTCCACTATACAAAACATCCAGAATAAGCAAATATATAGAGATAGACAGTTGATTAGTGGCTGCCACAGGCTAGGAAGATTAACCCTCCAAGAGCAGTACAGAATGTTCTGCTTTCCAGCAGGGGAAGAAGTCGAAGTTGGCTTCTAGCAAAGGGGAGACCTAGAATAGGAGGCAAGGAGTGGCCTGGAAAATGAGAGAAGAAACCAAGAGAACAGGAGTCAGGGCTTGGCCAAGGACACTGTACTCACAGCTTCTCCAGCATCTTGAGTTTACTCTGCACTTGAGAGGCCCTATTGGCGTTGTAGCGAAACCGGTCAATGAAAACCTGCAGGTGGAGGAGTGCAGGTATTGGCCACAGCCCCCCAGCTCTCGCACCTGTGGGATGGGACCCCCAGCCCTCCCTGCCCCCACACCTGGATGTGTTGGCGATACTGCTGCTGTGCCTCATATTCACGTTGCTGGTTGAGCAGCCGCTCCTGCTTGCTCTTGATGAAGGTTTCAAAGTCTCCTCGGTAACCGTCTAGCCGCTGGCTGTGCAAGTGGATGATGTCTGTGGCGATGGCATTCAGGAAGTTGCGGTCGTGGGAGACGACTAGGATTGTGGAGGGCCATGTCTGGGGGGTCACAGGATGGCATGCCCAGTTGGGGGAGGCAGTCAGGTCCCAGGCCCCCAGTATCTTGGAGGCAGACTTTCCCCAACCCCCAGTGTCTGTGGCACTCACCTGCAGGTAATTCTCCAGCCACAGGATGGCCCTTACATCCAGCATGTTTGTGGGTTCTAGAGAAGAAGCAGGGGAATACATGCTTGGGGCTGAAGGACTGGAGAACTACGAACTTGGATGCTAACGCCCTTGCCATTCCAAAGTCAGGGTGCCCCATTTCAAACTCACCATCTAATAGCAGAAGATCTGGTCTATGAAAAAGAACACATGACATGTGGTTTTAGGTCAGTGGCACACTGCCACTTCCCAAGAGCCACAGCCTATCTTCCATACACAGGCCCAGAGAACTCACCTAGCAAAGAGAGCCCGGGCCAGGGCCAGCCTCATCCTCCAGCCACCTGAGAATTCCCTAAAGAATGAGAGAGCCATGTTAAGGATGGGTGTTCACCAGGGCAAGTAGGGGCCACACACCAGGGCTCAGAATCAAGAACGGCAAGGGCCACTCACCGAGTGGGCTGCTGCTGCATTTTAGAGGTAAAGCCAAGCCCAGCAAGTATGACTGAAGCCCTATGAGTGAAGACATTGAAGAACCCAGTTGGTACACAGTTTACAGAAGGGAAAGGTGACGTCTGATGGAGACAGGGTTTTCAATACCTGGCAGGTGCCTTGTCAGCTTCAATCTCCTCAAGTTTGGCATAGATTTCTGCCAGCTGTGCAGCTTCAGAGCCCTCCACCCTGGGAGGGAAGAGAAAGAGCCATCAGGGTAAATGGGGCAGTCTAAGAGGATGTCCTGCACCTTACACAGTTGGAAAGCGGCCACTGGCTGCCTTGTTGCTGGAATAGGAATAAAACACAGGAAGAATTTCTCTAAGGCAACAAGGGCAATGAGCACTACAGAAAGAACAGGGGCTTTAGTGTCCCACAGTGCCAAGTTTTGCTGATCACAAGGATGGGCTTGTGAACTATGGACTGTGACGGCATGGCAGACACTCTGTGAAGGACAGCTGCTGCTAGTTATTCCCTAGTCTGGAGCCCTCACCTGCCAGCAGCAATCTGGGCACTGAGTTCCCGCTCCCGTAGCAGCAGGCCCTCTCGCACACTGTCACTCTCCAGCACACTCTGAAGGGCAGGGGTGTCATCTCCAGCAACCTCCTGCTCTACATGCAGCAGGGAAATGTGGGCTGGAACCCGCAGGCTCCGAGTGGCCAGCATCTTCAGCAGTGTTGTCTTTCCCAGCCCATTCCGTCCCACCAGCCCATAACGGCGGCCCCACGCCAGGTTCACATCCGCTCCAGCCAGCAGTACCCTGCAGGGGTGGTAGAAAGGAGACCAAGGGTGCTCTAGAAATAGAAACAGGTGCACAGAGAATTTAACAACAGAACCTAGCATTGTTTTTAGACCCATTTTGTTTCTCCAAATTCTCCTTTAATTAGAAAAGAATACCTCCCCCCCACCAGTGTCCCCCATTCCCTTACCTATCGCCAAAAGAGACATCAAAGTTTTCAATTCGCACATCATAGGATTTGTTCTTTCCAGATGATTCCAACCGACTCTCCTTTCTGCTGCCTGCTTGGCTAGCTGATGCCTCCTCCAAGACTCTTTTAAGGGAGAAACAGATAGCTTTTAGTACTTCCAACCACCCTTTTGTCCCAGCAGAGACTGCTCTGCTCTCTTCTGAGGCATTCTTCCTCAACTCACAGAGGGTTGCTGGTCTTGAGTGTGTCCTTCTCTGAGCGCTTCTCCTGCTTTGCCTTCAGTCGAGCCTCAGCCTTCTCAAGCTTCTTGGCATTCACTGTCTAAGGGTCCAAACACAACCACTTCACCCTCTGGTGTAGGCTCAGAAAGGAACCCCCAAAGAGAACACCTTAGATAAACCCTCTTAACTGATAAACAGAACAGACTCAAAGGCTCAGGAAAAGGCATAACCAGCAATTTCCCCAAAAGATAACCCCTACAGTAGACCCAGTCCCTCCCTTTTTTCCTCCTTCTCACCGAGGACTGTTCCCTCTTTAGCAGTCCTGGAAGTTTGGTTTCACAGTCTGTAAGCGATAAAAAAGCAGTCACCTTCTCCCTGAAGGAAGGGAAACTAACATTTTGAGTGCACAGACACAAACGTTTTCAATAAAGCCTTACAATCATGGGGATAGATTGCTATCATCCTTCCTGCACTAAAACAAACAAAAACCAAAACCTCAGGTATAAGGATATAAAAGCTGGGAAAGATAAGCAACTCTTACAAGAGTATGCAGTTTGGTTAGTCAGTTGCAAAATTGAGGGATGAGAACAAGCCTGTCCAGCTCCAAGGTTCATATGGTTTCTACCATACCCAAGAGCTGGGAGAACCCTCCAGCCCTATTCCCCTTCGACATAGACTCTTTTTTTTTTTTTTGAGTTGGATCTCACTCTATCACCCAGCCTGGAGTGCAGCGGCCGCTCCCGGCCACCGCAGCCTCAACCTGCTGGGCTCCGGCGATCTTTCCACCTCAGTCTTCTGAGTAGCCGGAATTACAGGCATGTGCTACCACGCCCGGCTGATTTTTTGATTTATTGTAGAGATGAGGTCTCGCTACCCAGGCGGGTCTCGAACCCGCGGGCTCAGCAATCCACTCACCTCAGCCTCCCAAAGGCGCGGGATATTACAGGCTGAGCCACCGAGCCCAGCCGACATAGACTCTTCTGTCCCCAGTAAAGACCTCAGCTAAAGTCTACAACTTTGTCCTGTGGGAAAGAGTAGGAGTCCTGAGCTGCAGGGGGCAGGGGTGGCTGGCTGGGTGGGGTGGAGGCCCAGAAAAGTACAGAGGACAGTTCCATCTCCCCTCTCACCGTAGTTCTCTGTTATCTTTGACAACTGGATGGGGGCGTCCAGTAGCACCTGGCTATTTCCCTGGCTCTGTGGCTCGGCCCTATTTGGATAGGGATAGAAAGCGCAAAGTTAGGAGTCGAGGGAAAAGCTCAATAGCCATCAGACTTTCTTCCCCCCCTCTTGTCTCCAGACCGTTAGCCCTCCCTTCACCCCATCAACCCTTTTCCCCTAAAACATACAGGCGCAGAGTGTTGTACATGCGCTGGCACACGGCCCTGATGCCCGCGTCATCCTTGCTGTCCCCGGACACCTCTTGCAGTAGTTCCCCCACAGCTTCCACCAGGTCATCCACAGACTCGAAGTCCGCGCTGCCGCTGTGCAAGACGCCTGGACCGAGCAGGACAGGACGAGAAGACACAGGGTAGGAAATGGGCACACAAGCAGTTTCGATCCCCAAGCTGTGGACCCAGTCCGGGCTCCAGACCCAGGGGGCCCTCGGGACAAGAGGTCATGCGGAGGAGAGGCCTGGCAGCGGTCCCCGGCACTGTCCTCCCCTAGGCTTTCCCTCCGACCTCCACGTCGGCTTACCCAGTCGGTTGACTGAGTTCGGCTTACCGGTCACGTAGTCGAAGACCTGTCCGTCAATCTCGGGGAATTCGCTCCGCAGGATCTCGGCGCAAGTCGCCATGTTCCAGCCGGGAACCCGTCCGCGCAGCCGCCGTGAAACCCCGGCCTAAGACCCGCCCCCTGCCCGTCCCCCGAAAGCTCGAACCGCCTTCCAGCGCGCATGCGTAGCAGCGACGCAAGAAAGGAGCGGAGTGCGCGGAGCCAGTGGGCGGAGAGAACGGAGCCGGAGGAACGGTGCGTAGGCGCCGCACAGAGTCTGCGCCGGAGCTGCTCTCTGCGCTTGCGCGATGCGTTTTCCTCCGCAAGATCAGCCACATGTGCGTTTCTCTGCCTTCTGGGAGGTGGAGACCTGGAGGTGGGGAGGGGTGGGGCGGCGGCAGCGAGGAAGCTCGAGGTTTATCGGGGCGCGAGGCACCCGTGGGGCGGCGGGTGGGAGCCTCCCAAGAGACAGGCGGGTGATAAAGCACATTGGCTTTGCTCGTTTTGCGCACTCCCTCGGGGCGCGCCCCTCCGCTGCACACCCAGTCAGGTCCATTTTGGGACCCACCAAGAGCCTTGCTGACTCACCCGACCCTGACTGAGACCCCCCCAGCTTGGTTCTGTACGTTCCCCGGTTCCCAGACCCTAGGGGCTCCTCAGCCAGGTGGCCAGCCCCCCTCCTCCCGCGAGACCTGGGCTCAGGCGTTTCACTCTTCACAACGGTTCAGCAGACCATGGCGAATTATGCCCTTTCAGTTGTTGCACCTCCCCAGGGCACACCTCACTCACCGCCGAAGGGCAAGAAAATCAAGACAGCATGGCCATTATCAGTTCGCTGGTATTTATTCCCCTTCTACACCCAAAGCCGACTTCTCTGCACCCTTAATCTCAGTAAATGTCTGTAAAAGGCTATTTCCTTTCACCAGTTCCCTCGTGCGAAGTTAGAAATGTCTCCAAAGTGACACTACCGCTTTATATTTAACGCGAATATTATTCTAACCTGGCTCTAAAAGTGGACCTAAAATCACCTCATCATCCAGTCGCCTTTTGGATTAAACATTGCCATTGTGGCCGGGCTCAGTGGCACAGCCTGTAAACTCAGCACTTCGGGAGACCGAGGTGAGTGGATTGCCCGAGAGCACGGGTTCCAGACCAGCCCTGGCAACTTGGTGAGACCTGGTCTCTACAATAAGTCAAAAATTACCCAGGCGTGGTAGCGCACACCTGTAGTTTTGGCTACTTGGAAGGCTGAGGCAGAAGGACTGCTGGAGCCCAGCAGACTCCTGGGTGCTGGGGTGGCTGTGAGTGTGCCTCTGCACTCCAGCCTGGGCAACAGAGACAAAAACTCAACAACAAAAAAACCACACACACTAAAAACATTGCCATTGTGAGGAATCCTGACATTTAGCCATTCTACAGGACATGCAGGTAAAGAGGAATATGTTAAGTGATATCATGGGGAAAACTAAGAACTCAGGTTTCTTCAAAATTACAAGAACTGAGGGAAATGTATGAATTGATGATTTAGGAAGCATTAATCAACGACAGTGGACCCTGTCTGGATCCAGATGGAAGTTGTGAAAAATTTAATAGAACACCTGGATTAAGTGACTGCATTAGATGTGTTACTAAGGAACTGGCCATGAGTTGATCATAGTTGAAGACTGGTGATGGGATAGGGGGTTCGTTATGTTGTGCTTCTATTTATATTTGAAATTTTCTCTAATTGATCTTTTTTTTTGAGTTGGAATCTTACTCTGTTGCCCAGACTGGAGTGCAGTGGCACACTTAACGGCCACTGCCACCTCAACCTGCTGGGCTCAGGTGATCCCTGTGCCTCGGCCTTCCAAGTAGCTGGAACTACAGTCACACGTCACCATGCCCGGCTAATTTTTTTTTATTGTAGAGATGAGGTCTTGCCAAGTTGCCCAGACTGGTTTTGAACTCGTGGGTTCAGGCAATCCTCTCACCTCAGCCTCCCAAAGTGCTGGGATTATAGGCATGAGCCACCATGCCCAGCCTCTAATAGATTTTTTTTAAAGGTAAAAGGCCAAACAAGGGAAATCTGGTGAGGACAAATCTGCTCTTTTATGGGCCATTCCTCACAGAGATTAACCACACAAGTCTCTGGAGGTGTGGAGGTATTCAGGGGAGTTTTTTTAAGAGCCCTGGGAAGAGTCTCCTCCTACTACTCACCAAGAGAAGCCTGGGTAAATGGAAAAAGAATGGAATTAAGAGGTAGGTTTCTCTGGATGGCCTGGATGGCGGTTGCAAGACCAAAAGGAAACCTTGCTTAATCTATGCTAATTATAAAATATCTACGTAAGAGTTAGGGAGAGGCAGGGGTGGGGAGTGGGTGGGGTGGTATGTCCCAGGAATTTGAGATGGGGGTGGGAAGGGAAGATAGGGGAAGAATCTCTCTTTAAAAAAAAAAAGTAAAGAAAAAAGCTGGGTGTGGGTGCTCATGTCTGTAATCCCAGCACTTTGGGAGGCTGAGGGAAGAGGATTGCCTGAGTCCAGGGGTTTGAGACCTGTCCCTACAATAAATCAAAAACTTAGCTGGGCGTGGTGGCACACACCTGTGGTTCCAGCTACTTGGAAGGCTGAGGCAGAACGATCATCTGACTACACTATAGCCTGGGCAGCAGAGTAACTCTGACTCAAAAAAAGAAAAAAGAAAAGGGCCAGGGAAAGAATCTCATCTTTAAGGTACTGGGGCTGCCTGCCCTTGATGTTGTTTTCTTCTTCAAGGAGCCAGGAAACCTGGACCACCAGCCCATGAGGATAAGAGCTTGGATGTCCCTGGAGAGGCCTAACAATTGGGATAAGACAAGGAAAGAGCCCTGAATAGTATTCAGAATAGAAAATCACAGGAGGAGCAGTCCCACCAGTTCTCTTCCACATGTAGCTCCCACATCAACACTTGGCCAACAACTATACTCTACAGAGTTTATTGGGCTTATAACTGGACAAAGTCACACGTGTACAAAATGAAGCTCACACTATCCCAAAGCAGAGTAGGGATTGAGGGCTGGGATCTGTTACTGGCCCCTGGGGAGCTCTGAGGTGAGGGGCAGCCAACCCTCCCACTCCAGAGGTGTGGCCACAAGGGTGGGAAGGAAAGGGGGCCCACCTGGCTTTGGTCACAGAACTCAGAGCCTGGCATCAGACCAGGACAGATGGATGGATGGAAGAGCAGGAGCCCAAAACTACCCTGCCCGGGGAGCCCAGGGACAACTCCACCAGTCCTGCTTGCAATGTGGTTGGTCCAGACCTAGACTCAGGGGTTGGTGCAAAGGAAAGGCAGCAAAGCAGGAGGGAGGAGAGACTGATGTGTGATAGCAAGTGGGAGCAGAAGCGACATCGGACCTGTAGAAGAGGGTGGGTGGGGAGGTGGGCTAGCTGTCACCAGGCAGCTAGCAGCGGGTTTCGTAAATGCCACTGCGGCCAATGTAGCGCACCCATTTGATGACATCATGGTCGCTGTAGTTCAGCTTCGGTTCAAACACCTTCAAGTAGCGCACCTTGAGGCCAGAGGGTGCAAATGGCACCTGGTCAGGGGACAGCTCTGGTTAGAAATGTGGCCTTCCTCTCCTAGTCACTCTCCTCTAACAAGTTCCATAGCTCTGCCTGACCTCATCTCTACTATAGCTATTTGAAAGGCTGGGGTCTTGAAAGAAACTGGGGGAAACTAGGGCGGTAAGGGGCCCTACGAGAGGTTACTAAAGAAAAAAGCATATCTAAGAGTAACTAGCAGTTCATCTTGGGTTTGGAGTCAGGCCCTGACTGCAAAAATCTGAATCAATTCTTTTAAACAGCAGGAGACAGCAGCCAAGGAACTGCCTTAGAACACATTTGAGGGCTGCTCAATATCCTGTGCTTAAAAAATAACAAAACTGCTGGGTGCAGTGGCTCATGCCTATAACCTCAGCACTTTGGGAGGCAGAGGCAAGAGACTGCCTAGCCTATGGGTCCGCAACCAGCCTGGACAACTTGGCAAGACCTCTTCTCTAAAATAAATCACAAAATTAGCTGGACGTGATGGCGTGTGCCTGTAGTTCCAGCTACTTGGAAGGATGAAGCAGAAGGATCACGTTAGCCCAACAGGTCGAAGCTGCGGTGGCCTTGAGCATGCCAGTGCACTCCAGCCTGGAAGACAGAGTGAGGCTCCAGCTCAAACAACAAAATTATATGTCCAACATGCAAAGTAAGCCCACTGTCATTTTCATAAATAAACTGTGGGTCTTACCTGGCAGTCAAACAATCTAATTTTTTCAAAAGAACTGTCATATGAGCTGGGAGCAGTGGCTCATGCCTGTAAACCAGCACTTTGGGAGGCGAAGGCAAGAGGATTGCCTGAGCCCAGGGGTTTAAGACCAGCCTGGGCAATCTGGCAAGACCTCAACCAAAAAAGTAGTGGAGAATGGTGACATGCACCTGAAGTTCCAGCTATTTGGAAAGCTGAGGCGAAAGGATTACCTGAGCCCAGCAGGTCAAGGCTGCGGTGGTCAGGAGCATGTCACTGTACTCCATCCTGGGCGACAGAGTGAGACTCCAACTCAAAAAACAAACAACAACAATAAAAAACAAAAAACCTGTCTGATGACAAGCCGAAAAAAGTCAAAGATTTTTCAGTGTGAACAGCAATTTCTATTAAGAGGCTTGAAGGGACAAGAAATGAATCTATGAGTGAAAGTAACTTCCTCTTTCTAGGCCTCAGTTTTCTCATCTGTAACTTGCAGAGGTTTATTTAAATGATCTCTAAGATTTTTCCAGCACACCCTGGTATGGCTCTAGGCCCCCCTTCTGCCATACCTCAAAGTTCATGGAAATGGGGGGTCGAGCCCATTTCTTCTTATCGTTGGTGGGCAGAAGCTCAATCTCTGCGCTGATCTGTGATTCCTTCATGCCTGCCATGCGCTTGATCCTGGGAACACAGGGGCAATGGGTAGCAAGTGCCCATGGTAGCTTGGAGGCGTTTCAAGGGGAGCTGCCTATTTCAAGCAGAGAGAGAGAGCCCAGAAGCTCATGGGGGGCATCAGGACAAGGAAAAGTGGTCAGGACCCTGTAATCACTTGCTATGGAGCCCTGGGTCTGTTACTCCTTTAGGACTACGGACTACAGTGTCTGCTTAGGTACTTGGGCATGCTATCCTTTGCTCTGACTGCCTTACAGCGATTACAGGGCAAGTGGGGAGATGCCACAGCATCTTGAAATATAAACACTTGCATGAACCCAAATGCAGGCATA